CTACCACCACCCTCAAAATGTCAGGCTTAACACAGCGTTACAGTGGCAAACAAATCAGCTGGCTAATGACGCTAATGCTGCCACATTATTATCTTTACATACTGAATAAACAAACCATTAGGGTATGTTTATTTAGTGTGCATGCTATAGACCTTAATGATGCTGAGATTTTGACCTATAATAGCACCAAAAGCACAGTGTTACTAATAACATTAATTAATCACAGTGTTCCATAGACTTAAAGCCGCAGTAGGTAGCTAGTAAAAGAACTCTTTGTCATATTTGCTGAAACCTTCACTTTATCCTGAATCAGTATAATCTATCTACTATCTTGGCTCTAATTGGTTGTTCACAAAGTATCTGTCTTATGTACTACTGTGTGTGAAAAAAAAAATCAGCAAATATGACAAAAAGTCTTTTTTTTAATTACCTATGGCAGCTTTAAGATGTAAAATATCCACAGAGGTGTCTGTTCTGAAATGTCACCATGTATGAGAAACTGGCTGTCAGTTTCCAAACAACCTTAGAAAAAATACATCACTTTGTCTGCACCAGAGCATTTAATATTACTTTTGTAACTCAGTCAATTGGGTCATCTCAATCCCATGTTCTTAAGCCTCCATCTAGAATATGGCTGACAATAACACATCATGTCATGTAATGCCACTGGGTTAATCAGCCCCATAAATAAGGCTACAATATACATCTATTTACACCATTTGCACTGCAACACTGAAGGTTCATTTCCCACATTGTACCAGCAGAGGGCACAAAAGACCAGTAATTCAGTGGCAGCATCACAGAAAACTGTTGCCTTTAAGTCTCTGACAAACAACATTCTCACTTTTCTTTTTTTAGATGTCTCATGGCAACATCCTGTCAGATTAAAACAGGAAATAATATGTGAGCTCTTTCAACTCCCTATACTCCTTTAAAAAAGGTCTGTCTTTCATTTATTGTGTTAATGCTACTAAGATTACTATACTATGGTTTGAGCTGCCTTGCATGGTAAATGAATGTGAAAATATTTAGAAAATATATAAATATGAAGACAATACTTGTAGGGGTGTGATAAACCAGTCAGAGGACATGCACAAGATCTAGGAAATGTGATATTTGACATTTGCAAAATTATAGTCAATAACTTTAACTTTCTTTTTTAAATTTCTTGTGGAACCTTTCTTGCCATAAATTAAAAACATTAGCCCAATACATGATACATTTCTCTAATACTGAAGATGTTAACTACTCATTTGAAGATGAAAGAAGAATATCATATTCCAAGGAAGTGTGGCATGCCCTTTTGTTTAAACCTTCTTTTTTGTAACATTTGGGTGATTGGGACAGCACATCTTATCATTAATTTAGGCTAGTGTAAGTATATATATCACACAATTTGATTCATACTTAATATATAATATAATATAATTTCACATGCTGTTTTCCTGTTCATCATTATGAATTATAAGTCTATGTTCATTTATGATTAAATGTATTAGACTTTTGGTTTAAAAATCTATCCACACATCACACCATCACACATCACAACCCCCGTTCTCCCACTGCTTCCCTTACATTTTTACCCCAAATTTTACTGAATAAATTTAATGACAGTAAAAAATATTGCTTGTGTCATGAACCTGCATGAAAAAGAAGGGCGACCACACAGACAATTACAGTGTTTAAAGCAAAATAAATGTCTTAACCAATAGTCACACTAAATAAAGTATAAAATATATATGTACATCAGTATTGTCAGTAGTGTAGTGTAGTGAAGTGTGTGTGGACATGGGTGAAGTGTTGTGTATGGAAAAGCTCATGCATTTATCAAGCCAAAGACAGCAACAAACCCAGGACCTGCTCTCACAGGTGCCATTACGCTGCAGTGGATTACTCAGGATTAGTTAAATCAAGGCTGAATGTATCATTTATTTAGTTTGGTTTGGTTAGTTAGGGAACAAATTAAGCTAGAGCCTAAGGAGAATACACAATGCTTCTATATTGCAAGGTTGATCATTTTCAACATTAGCAAACCTTTTTAGCACCGCCACAATCACCCAAAATCAGGCTGTCTCATTATAATACAATATATGAAATGATGAATATGATATTATCACATATTTATTGATTTTGTTGCAATAACACACCATATTCCTGTTTCCATCAAAGGTTCGTGCAATACATTGGCTATGACAATTGTATGACCTTATGATGAAAACTAGCTAAAGCTTATGTCCTTTTCCTCACGTGATGCTTTCAGGGTAAATTTTTTATTATATTTTTATTTTATTTTAACTCAACAGGTGAGAAAATGAAACCCCATATTTGTTATACGGTCCCAATCACCCTCCATTCACCCTCTCATCTGTAACACCTGTGTTCACCCTACTATTTCATGTCAAAATGGCTGCTTTGAAAAAGGTCTGTTCAGCATGGTTACACCTGCTGATACACCATTTCATTCACCAAATAGTGTTGGACACATTAAGTTATTTATGGATGAAACACTGCCTATTCATTGACATGTATAGAAGGTTTTTCATCAGGCATCTCGCAAATAGCGGGAATTTACACTAAAAGTTAGAATGGCCCTAAAAACAATATCTAGAGTCTAGACGAAGGCAAATGGGGGAAGGGGAAAGTTTTTACCGCCTGTCAAATGCCCGCGAGTCTCATCTATGGATGGCGCTTCTATCTAACGTTAACCGGAAGCGCTGTGACGTAGTCGCTACGTACTGCACATTTCACGGGGCTGGTTTTTACAAACTACCGTAGCATTGCACGTACACCCACCACGTGTATGGCCGACAGATACATGTACGCTGTTATTAATTTGCCTCCCTCTGAATCTTTTTGGACCGTTCGGGTACCGCGAGTGCTTGAACTGACGGTGGGAACATAATGAACACACAGTGACAAACACCAGCGTTTAACCAAGGTGAGTCTCTGTCACGCTAGCTAGCACTAACGCGGTGTTAACAGATGGCTGTGTTGCTGTACACACTGTGTTTCATACTGAAAGGTCGGTTTATTTATCTTATCAGAGAACTGTTGTTTACTTCACTGTCGACTGGGTAAACATGGTAATGGGGCTCTGCTTTCCTCCTCTGTATGTAGTAAGGTTAGACTCCATGTGGATGAGTATACAAGTAGATGTACAGTCTGGTAATAACAGAATAAATATGTTATTACTAGTTTAATTGAATACTGTTTCTTTATCTTCGCGTTTGTTGCTTCTTCACAGAACAGAACAGGTGCATCATATGTCAGGATGCTACACAGTGTCCTTGTCTTAATGCTATTTTACTAAAAGTCCCTTTTTCTTTGATTTGGCCCTTAATATTCAGCCATGATGTTAAACCACACCTGTCACTCTGTATTGTTTCTGTACCCTGTACTACTGAGAGACAGTGACACAGCTCTATTTAACGCCACTACTGTTCACCTGTCTGGACCTAGATACTCAACAGAGAGCTGACACAGAGCCCATGCACTTTATCATAATCTGCTAAAGACTTGTCTGTCTATTCTACAATGTGTGTCCCTTTTTCTGGTGTTGGTTGCTGCGTGGTTCCTGCCATCAGAAGCACACATGTTCGATGTGACTCAGTCTGGATTACTGTAAGGACCAATAATCTGCTGTGACTCAGACAGAGGCCTCCAGGGTTTGACTGACTTATTTCATACGGGCTCATGGGTAATGTGAGAAACTCTTATTACTGAGAACAGAAGCATCAGGTAGCAGGAAAA